GTGGATAGAAACCAATAATATTTTGCTCGATATAGTCTGAGTGGATTCCGTAAGGCTTAATCATGTCAGGATAATTTAATAAACTTAGCAATTACTGTACAAAAAGCTTTACGAAGAAACCAAGATATTTATTCCGTTTTCTTAGATGTTAAAGGCGCGTTTGATAATGTGAATATAAAAATTTTACTAAATAAACTAGCGAAAATTGGATGCCCTCTAACACTGATTAATTCACGAATAGACTTGTATACGCCAACGAACAAAGCGAACCAAAATTGACGTGTAGAGGCGTTCCGCAAGGGGGGTTCTTAGCCCCCTTCTATACATAATATTTGTTGCCGATATTATCAAAAGTATTCCAAAAGAAGTCCTAATACCTCAATTTATCGACGATATAGCACTCTATTTCAGTAGTTTGACGTCATTCTAAAAAGTCATGAATCAAATTAAAAATAATCTAACTAAAATTTATCTCTCTCTCATACCTGAAAAAACTGTACTCATTCATATTAACAACAAGAACGTAAAACCCGGTGAAACAGAAATCCAAATTGACGGCTTAGTGATTAAATCCAGCGAATCTACCAGATTTCTAGGACTGATTTTTTATTACAGACTTTCATTTACACAACAGATTAGTAGAGTCAAGCCTCTAGAGTTTTAGTCGACATATACCACAAAATTATTAATTATTCAAAGGCATTTCTACTGTGACATACAGAAAGTAATTTTAACAGAAATATGTTATTTAATGAATTAACATTCAATTTTATTAATCTGAACATGATCTGAAAGATTGTTAGTAATAGATTTTTTATTACTATTGACGTAAAATAATTGACCATATCTTATATTGAAATAAGTGAAATCTCCACGAGAAAAACAGTTTTTTAAGTAAAAATTTATATTAATGCTTGTATCAGTCCAATTAGTATTAAAAAATATATATGATGTATTCCTTTAATTAACCGTAAGTTACAGGATATAAAATTGAGTAAGGATAGTTTTGACATATACAGTGAAACTAATTTATGTTACTATACAAAAGATAAATTATTACTGCAGTGTCACTCCTAATTATGAAAATTCCAAACTGTAAGTTTGATTGAGGTAATATTGCTATTTTAGACAGGGAAGGTAATCACATTAAGAGATTGATATCCGAAATGATACAAATCAATTTTGAGGAAAATACAATAAATAAAATGGAAGATATCCAATATCTCAATATTGACTATAAAAGCTTGTATAAAAATCTAAGAAAATCAAAGTAATAATTTAATTTTTTCTATATTTAGTTTATTCTAATTTTTAATTTTTAAGCATTGTAACCCATATATTTTTAGAAACTGTTTACAAAATTTTGAAAAAAATGAAATCTATCTACAGAATGACAAAGATGCTATGAATTACTATCATATTGGTTTCGTAAATTATTATTAAATAAAACAGAAAAAATACTTAAAAAAAATTTTGTTAGTATGGTTGTCAGCTACTTTCAATTAATATCTTATTAATTAAAAAAAATAACACTATTTCTTACAAAATTTAAAAAACTTCTCAGTTTGAAATTCACTCTCTATCATCTTATTATTTACGTTAAATTGTTTGTAAAGTTTTGAAAGTAATGAAATCTATTTAAAAATGGCATGATATTAAAAATTAGTTTCAGATCTCTTATACAAATTAAATTAATATATATTAAATGACAACAAAAAAATACATCGACAACAAATCTACAATTTGCGTGGATCATATTCTACACTTCAACTATTAGTCATAAATATTTCAATATATATGATATTCATTTTCTTCACGGAGATGTCAGTCAAAAGTCATTATTGAATTTTTGAAGCTAATGAAAAGATATGTTATATTCCTGTCTGTTATCAAGTGAATAAATTAGAAAATGACCTATTAATTATGATGAAAAACAAAAAAAAAATTTTAGTTATATCTGAGTTGCTGCTATTTGTCAATTTAAATGGAAACAAACATTTATTTTTATTTTTTACCCGGCTATATGAAAGACTTCATCACGGTAAATTACCAGCTGAATATTTTTTTCGTAAAACCATTTATAACCTTAATAGTCATATATTTTCATTTTAGTTTTGCTAATATAATTTTGTTAAAAAAAATTACACAAGGGTAGCTACCCTATAAGCATATCCCCCGTTCCCTTATTAGCTGAAGGTCTTTTCGTTTCATACTGGGATAGGATCTACCATATATTTGATAAATAGCTTTTTTAAGATGAGTCAACGAAAAGCGCAACGGGGTCCTAGGCTAGTATACACTGCAAACCTTAAAGCTTTTTTAGCTGTTTAGTCATCATTGTTTCCTACTTGACGTCCCTTTATTAGGAACATTCACTATAAACGAATAGTCGGAAAAAATAAAATATTAACATAAGAATTGTTTATCGTGAATGTTATATGTAAAGCACTATTTCCTTGTTTTTTATGAGTTATGCGGCACTTTCTGATTACTCAAAAGTTGAAAAACGGAAATAAAAAAATTATATTAATTTTACTATGTACACTAGTTATTAAGAGTAATGATATTTATTTTTAATATTATTTGTCGTGAAACTGTGTTTTGAAAAAACTGTAGATGGGGAAGGTTTAAAGATAATTAATAGACTCTGTGGATTTTTATCTGAATATATCTCATTTGATTACTCGTGACCTATAGTTGATTATTTGCTGACGGAGTATTCCTAATAAAAAGAGTAAGTAGAAAATATAAATATGAAACTTGTTGAACTCGTGAAAACGTGATAAAAATTAATAATTAGTATACGGCTTTTTCACTGATTGATATTATAGTTGATTCGTAAAGTTTAAATAAAAATTATATTAATCGTAACACTAACTTGACAAAAATTTAAAAATATAGAGTTGTATATTTCACAAATTATGATTTTGTGAACACGAGTCAAATAATAGATTATCAAAAAATAATTGTAAAAGATTCCTGTTAAATGTTTTGATGAGTTGTTAACGTTTGTGATAACAATTAAGCATTGATCAATTTATATATCCATTAAAAAATTATTCCGATAGAACCATTGATTATTATTAGTGTCCCTGTACTCTGCTGGCATTTTTGTCGTCTTATATAGATTGATTGTTCGTGTTTCTTTACAAGTGGAATAGGTTAATTGTTCTAACGTATTATCTTTGTATAATTACGATTTAGAACATGTTATCAATTGTAAATACATGCAATATTTTTGCAATTGTACCAGAACTACTTGCATTTTTATTGTTTAATCTAGGTACCTTTTATTGCAAAAGCCTCGGGCATACGTAAAAATTTCAATCCTTTCTAAGAGAACTCGCCAAGTTGAACTGTTGCTCTTCCCAATTTGTCTGTGAAGAAATATGAAGGAAATTGAGCTTGGTGTAGGTAAAGAAACGATCAAATAATTTTTCACTTTAACTAATTCGTTAACTTAGGCATAACCATCTATAAGAAGAAGAAGCAGAATTCGTTAACCTCCTCAGAAATTTAAGTTTAATTACAGCAAAGTGTGCTGTTAGTTGGAGCAAACCAGTTTGTCATCATATCATTTTCTGTTGACAAAATTGGCATGAATTATTTAACAAGAACTCATAAGAATCTCTTATACATAATAAATGGTTTTATTTGTGTCATTTTTTAATGAATTTTTTTTAATTACTAACGCTTTGGTAAGAGAGAGAAAAAATGTCAGTATATCATGTTGATTCTACGTACTGTTTGCTATAACATGGCAAACACTATTAATTAATTTTGAAAAACTATACGTAATCTTAACAAATACGTACTTCTCAACTATACAAAAATTTAGACCTATAGTTCCAGAGGATTGTAGACCTATATGCTTTGACAATTGCACACCGATATAATGAAAATTCTATAAAATTAATTAACCAAATATAAAACTCTTTGAATAACTGCTATTTAATTGAAAAACATAATACATTGAATACATTAGGATTAATGATAATTGTTATATTTATAATCATGTCAATAAAATACATCATTATTACTTCTATACTTTTTTCGACAAGCTAATTTATTATATATGTTTCTTATACAATATTTTCATTAAGCATACATTCATATACAAAGTATTAAATATTCGTACAAAAATTCAAAACTTTTGGCTTCAAACATTTACGTATTATTAAATCCCGTCAAAAAAAATTTCAATTCGCAAAGAATCGAAACAACTATGCGACGAGAAAATTTCTTGTTTTTTTGTTCATTTGATTTTCTTTTCATCGTCCAAAAGGTCTCCTACATGTCAAATACTTTGCTACGTATTAAGATAAACTTTGGTTTTAATAGCCAATGCATAGTTTTGTAAATCTAATAAAATTTTTCTTTCAACTTCATAGTATCAAATTACAACATAGAAAAAACTAATTATACATATATGTATATATATATATATATTTTTTTTTTTTCAAATTCATTTATAGTTTCTACAATTATTAGTTGAAAACTTGTACTGGAATCTACTAAACTATTTCTACAGTTACATGATTTTCTGATAAAATTAGGAAAGAAACACTATTTACTCTGCTGAGAACGAAACATAATGCAAGCATTGTCAGAGTATTGATTGTCAGACTTACTTCGTCATATATTATTTACACTTGTTTGTCATTTATTTACAGCCTCGCAAGCTAAAAAGGTATTGCTTTTCAAAATTTTCTTTTATTTCTTAATTTCTAAGCTTCCGAGTGCTACGCGTCATCTTTTTATGGCACTTTTATAGAAGAATATTGACGAGTTGTTTTTTGAATAAGTCATACTGGTGGTGCATAAAAAAAAGAATATATAAAAGTACAATAAGAAATGCTTTTCTGGTATATAGCTTTGAACACAAGATGATAAAAAATTGAGTTTTTTAGTGCTGTAAAACGAGGCAATTTTACAGCTAAGTACCAGTTGAAGTACGTCGTTAAAAATCACGCAGCCTTCCGCTTGAATCCTTTGTTAACATACAGAGAGAGAGAGAGAGAGAGAGAGAGAGAGAGAGAGAGAGAGAGAGAGAGAGAGAGAGAGAGAGAGAGAGAGAGAGAGAGAGAGAGAGAGAGACAAAAAAGAAGGTGATGCGTTTGCGATGATGAATGAATACTACGCCTACTGCATACATTGCCGGTAAAGTTGGGCCTTGGCTTCGAACTCGGCAAGTTCCTTGTCCATCTGGTCGTTGAGCTTGTCAACGTCTCTCATAAGTTCGCGCAGCAAATTGTCGTTGTCCTTGTAAACGCTCTCCATACCCTCAAGGTCTTTGAATTTGGACTGCGTGTCAGCGGTCAACTCGCTGGCTCGCTGAAGCAACTCTTTGGCGCGAATGATGTCGTTCTTGCTCTTGCTTACGCGTTGGTTCAGCGACTCGGCGACCTGCTTGTACTGTTCGCCAAGACTTTCAGCTTGCGATTGAACCTTCTTAGCTTCGTCGGAGATGTTACTGGCTTGCAGTTGAATCTCCTGCTTGATCATGAAGTCGTTCTTGACCGATTCCGTCTGCAGATGTTTCAATCTTGTCTCTGAAACGAGAGAAAAACCGGCGTTCGCGAGTGACTGGTTTACCGCGAGCGACGGAAGCAACGGACAAAGTACGCTTACCCAACTCATTGACCGAATTGGCAGTGTCGTTGGCCTTCCCCTTGGCGTCCTTCGTGATCTGCGAGATCTCGTCGAGGTCCTTCTGCGACAATTCAATGTCGTTCTCGGCCTTGCTGATAGCCTCCTGAGCCAACTCTTGCGACTCCTGCGTCTCCCTCAGCAATTCGATGACCTTGCCGGCCAACGCCTCCTTCTCCTCGGCCATCGCCCTCGTCCAATTGGCTCTGTCTCTGAGGTCATTGGCCAGCTGCAGATCGTTCGACGTCTCGCTGAGGATGCGCTCGGGGTCGCTGAGGGATCCGACGATCTCGGCGATTTTGTCGGCTAGATCCTTGATCTCCTCCGGGGTGAGCGTGATACTCTTGTTGAGCACCTCCCTGGCGAGGTCGCGCACCTCCGCAGGCGTCGGTTGCTCGGCTCTCAGCAAATCGAAGATCTTCTTGTTGACGTCCGACAGGTCCTCGGTGAGCTTGTCCGACTGGTTGCGCGCTTGGGAGGCCAGATCGAATGCCTCTTGGGCGTTGCCGCGCGCCCCGGTGGAGCTGTCTCTCAGCCGGTTCATCTGGAAGTGGCGATCGAATCGGTGCTCTCGACTTGAAGCGGAAGCCCGCGGGCCGAGGCAATACTCACGTTGCGAAGCAGCTGCTCGGCCTCCTCCTGGTGGCTCTTGATCTTGGAGGCCTGCTGCTTGGCGACGTCGAGCGCTTGGCTGGCCTTGGTGAGCGCACCGGCGTCGCAGGACAGACCGCCGCAGTGTCCGCAGCCAGCACCGCCGCAGACGTCGCTGCAGTCCGACACGTTGCGACCGCACATGTCCTGGTTGAGCTGCGGCACGTGGCCCTTCAACTCGTCCAGGTGGGCGTTCAAGGAGTCCAGAGACTGCTGATTCCTCAGCCTATTCTCGTCGACACTGGCGCTGCTCTTGGCGATCAGGTTCTCCGTGTTCTTCTTGTATCTCTCCGCGTCGAGCAGCACGTTGCCCGTGTCCGCGGCCATGCGCTCTGCCATCTTCGACTGGTCGGCCATCTGCTGCGTGATGTTCAACGCGCCCTGAACGTTGGCTTCCTGCAGGCGATTGGCCGACTCGCGCAGCTTGCCGGCGTCCTCGTGGAGAACGTCGGTGCGGTTCTTCAGACGCTTCAGCGCCTCGTCGGCCAGCGTCACTCGTCCCGAGACGTTCTCCAGCTGGTCGGTCAAGTCGTCCAGGATCATCGACGAATGGTCGATGTCCTTTGCCAGTCTCGCTTCCAGCTGGTTCACCTCCTCGAGATCTTGATTCTTCACCGAGGAGCTCTCGATCACGGCGTTCACCTGTTCCCAAGCCAAGGCGCGTCACCGATTACAATGTCGCTCGCTCGCTCGCAATCGATTTGCGCAAGGAAGCCTCACCTGAGCAATGGCGCTGTCGATCTCGTCGAACTCCTGGCTGTAGATGCCCGTGGTGCCGACCTTCTGAATGTTGGAGGCTTCGTCGATGACGAACGCGGTCTTGTTCCTCAGGCCGTCGAGGATGCCGTCCCAATTGTCGAAGCACTCGCCGCAGGGCGAGCAGCTCGGCGCGACGCCGATGTAGCTGCGGTCGCACTGGTCGCACTTGTCGCCGCCAATGCCCTCGTGGCAAACGCACGCGCCGGTGTTGCGGTCGCACTGCAGGCTCGCCGAGCCGATCTCGTCGCACTCGCACGGGTGGCACTGCACGTTCGGGTTGCCGTAGTAGTTGGCCTGGCACTCGTTGCAGCGGCGACCCCCGAAGCCCGGCTTGCATTCGCACGTGCCGTCGTAAGGGTTGCACCTGCGCCGAGAGCAAACGTCGATCGAGCTTCCGAATGGGGGGAGCTTTCGGGGAAGCTCTTCGGACGAACCTGTCGGAGACGCTCCCGACGACGTCGCACTCGCACGGGTCGCAGCCCTGCCCACTGGCGATCCTCCAGTGATAATCCTCGCAAGTGTCGCACACCTGGCCGATCACGTGCGGCAGGCAGGGGCACTGTCCGGTTCTGTGATTGCAGGACCCGGCGCTCGAGTCCGTGCCCAAGATGTTGCAGCCGCACTCCTGGCAAGTTTTCATCAGCGCGTCGCCGTAATAATTCGGCTGGCAGACTTCGCAATTGGCCCCGGCGGTGTTGTACAGGCACTGCAAGCAGTGACCGGTCCTCGCGTCGCAGTTGCCCGGCCGAGCGACGTCGATGTTGCCGCTGCAGTCGCACTGCCGGCACTTGCCGCCCGCCACCTCGGGGTTGCCGAAGTGGTTGTCGGCGCACACGTCGCAGCGCGGCCCTGCGTAGCCTTGGTAGCAGTCGCACACCACGTCCTGGGATATCGGGTCGAGCGAGCAACTGTCCGCGTAGGCGTGTCCACTCTCCAGCGTTCCTGACAATCAGAGCCGAAGGGTGGTAGCGCGGGGATCGAACGGCCGAGTCGAGAAAGCAGAGCTGCTCGTCTAACCTGGACAGGGACAAGCCCGGCAAGGGATGTCCACGCCGATTCGGGGATCGCCGTAGAAGGCGTCGACGCACCTCTCGCAGTTGTGCCCAGTGGTCGAGTCTCTGCATTCGAGGCAAGCGCCGGTAGCCGAGTCGCAGTTGTCGGCGTGACCGTTGCACTCGCAACGCATGCAGTGCGGGAAGTTCCAGAAGCCAGGCTCGCACTGGCCGCAAGAGCGACCGTAGGTGTTGGGCCGACACTTGCATCTGCCCGTGACGACGTCGCAGAAGTTGTCCAAGGCTCCGATGCCGTCGCAGTCGCAAGGTATGCAACCTTCCGGTCCGAAGCCGTACGTGCCCGGAGCGCAGCGGTCGCAGCGACGACCGACCACGTAGGGCTTGCACTGACACGTGCCACCGTACTTCTCGCAGAGCAAACTGTGCGAGCCCGTCGGGTTGCACTCGCAAGCTGTCGAACGAAAATTGGCCGCTGAGCCAGCTTCCTGCGTGGATTCTCGTCGAGTCCGCGAAAAATGTGCTTACAATGAGCGCCGTCGTAGACGTAGAGACCCACGCTGTTCTGGTACTTGGAGCAGATCTCGCGGATGTCGCTTCTGTTCTCGTAGATGCTGTAGTAGTCGTAGACGTTGTTGTAGTAATCGGCGCAACGGAATCGTTCGTACTCCTGACGGCGAATTTCTCCAGGACCCCCGGTAAAGAATGGAATGGAGTCTATTCTTGGACTGAGGACGATCTGCGATAGCCGATTACGTTAGACGCCGACGCCCATTGTTCTTCGCTTGGACGAGCTTACCGAGTCGATGAGAATCGAAGCCATGGACGAGTCGCCGGGTCCGCTGAACCTCCTGATCTCGAGCAGCACCGTGTAAATCTTGTCGGCTTCCAGGCAAACCGACGGCATGGCCACGGAACTCCTCTGGTTGGCGGGCAGCGGCACCACGAGTCGGTCGTTTTCCGGCTGCCAGTCGCTGCCGCATGGGCCATCGGGGCTCGGCGGTCCGTCGCGTTCGAGCACAATCCGAGCGTCCTCCCAGACTCCGGGATATTTAGGCTCGTAGCGCACTATTATGTCGTACCACATCGAGCGTCGCACGTCGTCGATGGTGAAGTTCAATACCGAACCCTCGATCACCTGCATGAAGCCCAGTCCGGTCCACGTGCTGTTGCGACCGTCGCGGTACGGCTCGCGAATGACCACTTGGCAGTTCTGCACTCGCACACAAATGTCACGGAGTTAGAATGATCTCACGAGGGCTCGCGCGAGACTCGATTCGAAATAAGGCAACTCACGTCGGAGCCTCTGGCGTGCTCGCCTTCGTAGATCAGATAATCGATCGAGCCGGTGTAGTAACTCTGCTCGGGATTGCTGCATGTACGGCCACCGACGTGTGGTCTACAGCGACATTGCCCGGTCTCGACGTCGCAGTTATTGTCGTAGGAGCCGCCCGGGTCGCAGTCGCAAGCTTTGCAGCCCTCCGTCTCGTCCGACAGACCCCAGAATTCCGGCAGACATTGGTTGCAGTCGCGACCGGTGACGTAACGCTTGCACGTACACTCGCCGCTCATCATGTTGCAGCCCTGATTGTTTATCGTGCCCAGAGTGTTGCAGGTGCACGCTGAAACGTATTTACCATTGTCGAAATGATTTTTTTTTTTCAGGAAGGGACGCGGGGCGGACTCGCTTGAAATTTATGCGCTTCGGCTATCGATGTTACGCTGTGTGCTCGACCTATTCCGAGAATCTAATCTGCACAGCCCCGCGCGCGCTGACTCAAATTTCCTCTGGCGATAATGAGATAGATAGCAAGTGGAAGAAGCACGCGCTTTTGTCAACTTATGGAATGTTGAGTTCTATGTAAAAGAGCAAGAGACGTGGTAAAATGATCACCTTGGCATCCATCAGGATTGAGCTCGGTGAAGTTCCAGAATCCGTTCTTGCAGCGATCGCAGCGCCTACCTTCGACGTTGGTCTTGCAGTGGCAGCGTCCGGACTCGTCGCCGCTCAGCGGGTCGGTGCGAGCGTCGCAGATGCCTTCGTCCAGCGAGCCCCTCGGATCGCAGTCGCAAGCTGTTCAACGCCGAAGCGAAAAATAAATCGTAAGAACGATGGCTCGCAAAGCAGGCGAACCGAAGGCGCTATACCGACGTTGGCAAGCTTGGTAGTCGGTGATGTCCCTGGAGGGCTCGTGATAGAAGAAGGGCTTGCAGAGCTCGCAGTTCTGGCCCATGGTGTTGTGCTGGCAGTCGTCGCAGACGCCGCCGGAGACGCGGCCGCTCCTCTCGTACACGGCCTCGTCGAAGTGGCAGCTCTGGCTGTGCTCGTTGCAGTTGCACTTCCTGCAGGCGTTGGTCTGCTTGCCCACGGCCGGTTTCCAGGGCAGGTCGTTGTAGAATTCCTGGCACTGCTCGCAGTTGCGTCCCTTGGTGTTGTGAGTGCAGTTGCACCTGCCGTGGACCATCTCCTCCTCGTCGACCCAGTCGTTGATGGGCAGACAGCGAGACGCATGCCCGTAACACGAGCAAGAGCCGCGAATGAACATGTCTTTGATGGCGTAATAGTATTTCTCGTTGATTTCGGGACGATTGTCGAGTTTCTCGTCGCCCAAGCGGTGCTGCATCGTGAAGTTTATGCGCAGGTTCGTGATCTTCAGCAGATTCTGCACTTCCTTCGAGTATGGATTGTCGATTTTCAGATTGCTCGGCAACACTCTGCGAAACGCCAAGTATTCGTTCGCCTTTATTCATTCGAATCAACTGCTATCGGTGCTGTCTGTGACCGTGTAGTTTCGGGCTATGTTGCGGGAAACCTTTGCCGATCACATTGGACGTCTAGACACGCGTGTGTCGCAAGGATTTTACGCAACTTCAAACTACTCATTGTTGCAACGTTACTTGAAGCTAATTACGAGAATGACTACGTGCGAACATCGTGTACACATCGGACTTTGCATAATGCACAGTGCACTACGGGTGCGAATCGATCACATTTACCAGAGTTTTAGAGCTTACGTTTTCTCAAGTTCCTCGAGACTGCGCGCGTGAAAGAACACAGACGTTGCTTTTAGAATGAATATCGCACTTTTCTTGTGTGCTCGCTTCGCTGACTCAGCGTTTCGAACAGCCTTTAAACGTTCCTACCTGAAGATCACCTCGCCGTCCGTGGAAGGCTCGACGTGCGAGTATCGCGAGTCGCACACGACGTCGCTGAGCTTCTGCGGCTGGTGAGTCGGCACACCGGGGAACGCCGAGGCGCAGTCGTGCGCAAAGTAACGATAAACCTGCCAAGTCTGGCCGAAGTCGTAGGACCTCTCGAGGACCATGGCCGCAGGCCTGAACGTTTGAAAGTGAATGATGATGTGAGTGAAGTGGAACTCGGCCTCCAGGTCGAACTGAATGTACACGTCCTCTTTGCCGTTCTCGGCTTGCCACCAGGTGCGGTGCGGCGTTCTGAAAGCACAAAAGCCGGGCGTCAGCCAAAAGCGGGGTGTCCCCGGCGAGTCGCGCGCGCAGGCGTGGACGAACCCGCTGACGATGTTGGTGATGTCGTGCTGGTGTCGCGGATTGCGCGCGTCGCAGAAGAAGCACTTCTTGCGGTCCTTCAGGTGCGAGATGATGCAGTAGCGCTCGGGCTCTCGCAGTCCACAAGTCGACGATGCGTAGAGCGCCTTGCTCCTGCCGATCAGCAGGTTACCCGTGGCCGGGTAACAGGAGCCCTGCTCGCACGGGTGTGGCCGCTTGATCTGCATGCCTGCGCCAAACGATCGATCGCGTTCGTTAAAGAATGCACTCGCCGAACGAGTCGGTTGCTGCACGTACGCGACTACGTGTTAATATCATTAATAGCGGCAGTTTTGTCGTTTTGGTTAGCCCTCGCCTAGTACCAACTGCACCTGTTAAATCCGCATTCTCCCGTCATACTCAAACTCGTTAACAAATAGGAAACAAATGATCCGTGGTTACTGTCAAGGTGAGAGAAAGAGAGAGAGAGAGAGAGAGAGAGAGAGAGAGAGAGAGAGAGAGAGAGAGAGAGAGAGAGAGAGAAAGAGAGAAAGACTAAGGAGGTAGATTGATTGTCAATGTCTCTCACAAGGACTACCTCGAGGACGCAGCACGTTCAGCCAGGACCAGTCGAGACGATCTTCCATCAGCGGCTCTTCTTCCACGCCGCTAATGTCGCCCCTCTGGATCGCGCTCGTACCTACAATTTCATCGTTCATGCCCGCGTCCAACCACTGTCTCCTTTCTCTGGCATCTCGACTCCGCTCTCGGTTTCGACGGGACGGCCCGCTTGCCCCGCGCTCGATATCAACGGAAAGTCATTTGTCTAATTGTTGTAATCTTACCTCGTCCCGGCACTCGAGTGTAGTTCCTGCCATAATCTCGTGCCTGTCCTCCGGCTGAACCGACGAGGCCTGCGCAGACAAAGCCGTCGCATTAGTCGCGATCGGATCTCGAGGGAGGGCAAGGACCGGCCTGAAAGAGATCGCTGTGGAGTTCGGGCGAGCGAGGCGATCGGGCACTTTGATTTTTCGGAGAAGAGCCGCTATCGCCGCGGGCTTATCGGCTAGGGACACAGCGCCGGATGTTTACGAGAATCTCGCGAGCTGCCTGCGCTAACCGCGGCCATCTATTCCCCCCCTCCCCTTCTCCCTCGCGCCTCTCGATCGACGAGTTTAACAAAAGTGCTCTTGGCTTTCGCGTTTGCCTCCCTTTCGAAACCGCCGCTCTTCTCTGCCGGCAAGCGTCCATTTGGAAAGTCCACTTGCCTCCGCACCGCTCGAACGATTGCCCTTCCAGCGCGATGGCTATCCGCGATTCGGGATATCGGCGGGCGAGCTACGCCTGCACGACAGTCAATTCGCAACGAGCGAGATACGCGCGTTCTCGCGATACCCACGTATGTGGCCGTTGCACGTTGATCGCGTAATGAAGTTTTTACATAACCCAGATCTCCAACCTCGAGGGCCATTATCAAAGGAGTTCAACGCTTCTCGTCGCATCAGACAGAGAGAGCGACAGACTTTTTATTTCTCTCGCGCCTTCTTCTTTTCGGCTTTATCCAGGCCGGTTTGCCACCAAAGATTAGATACCGGCGCCGACCAACTGCTGACCTCCCGTCGACCCTCGCTTATTACGCGACTGCTTGCCCCGAAAATTCTTCTCGATTTAGTTAAACTTACTACTGTTTTAAGATTTCCCGTGAATATTGCTAATTAAATAGCATTTATTTACAGAGGTGACTGATCAACAAAAATTGATTGTTTATTGAATTATAAAAGCATCGAAAATTGAAATAGCTAATTTGCGTAAATGTTTACTCATCTCATGAATTGACAAAGTCTGTTTCTAATCTTCGGATTCGTGCCGAATATGAAATTATCATTTCGCAACTATTCTCGTAAGAATTCAATTTCGAACGATGCGTGTCGTCATCTCGAGATGCGTTATTTCTTTAGTGTATATCCATGATGTTAACACGCTGTATGTGAATTCGAATCATTCGACAAAGCCTACTTTGGATTTTCATCGGACCATTTAAGAATAGAACATCCGAAGAATTCGAAGGTACTTTAGAAAGACGTCCACAGATTTTGAACGTTGACGTGCATGGATAAGTTTTAAATGAGGCGTAGACTTGAAAATATATTCAATTCCAAAAAAAGTTCTATTATAAATTGAATGCGATCGCGCAAACAAATTGAATCGATCGAAATCTCGATTAGATAAAAAAACTCGCTTATTTGATGGAAGGTAACACTTTTGTCTGATTTTCGCACAGAAATAACGAAGAAGCTCACAGCTTGGCGGTGTCATTGCAGATTGCATTGGGACAGCGATTTCAGCCGCGCGACCGCGGTGTAACATTTCGCGAGCAGAGTACAATTCCATCCGAAAACTGATACGTTCGCGGCAAGAGAAGGCCTTACGTAGGTGGAATTTTCGCAAAATTACTTGCTCGTGCAAAGTGGCGCGGAATGCGAAGGCGGATTTCGAGACTTTTCAGTTGCGAGCTTGGAGGGAAGGGGGAAAAAAAAGAATAGTAATTTACCTGCGAGACAGACGAACAGAATTGAAGCGAAGAGGTTGAGGGCCAGGTTAGACCGAGTCATCGTGGTGGCTGTATGCGTGCGCCTGTGTCTTTGCAGCCGATTCACTCTCTTTTCACCGTAGATGCTGCCACCGCTTTAGTCGCTCAACTCCATTCTTATCTGCAACACAGATTTCCAACACGCTCGCGTCAACGTAATGTCAGCGCCCAACGAGGTTTTACGAAGACAAAAGAAAAAGAGGAATTAATGAATTCACGAGAGCGAACAGATTCGAGGGCCACGTCGCGTGCGAATCGGTCGGTCAGACAAGCCGCCACGGAAGAAATCGCGCGCAGAAGCGAGCTCAAAGCTGCGGCCGACTGGCCCGCGACGAATTCCGTAGCAGCGGGGTCCGCGCAATAAAGCGTCGAGAGTTTACGATGTGCACTGGTCGGTAGCGCGCCGCGATCGGCGGCCGCGGACTGTCGGCGCGAACGGCGAGCGCCGCGCGGGCGACTTCGGAGCCGCGTCGGCCGACGGAGCGCGCCCGCGGAGGCTGCAGCCAGGCGCAGCTCTGTTGCCTCGCGCGCGCCGAGCAACGGCGCAGGGCTGCAACATGGGCGCGACCGCGTTATATCCCTAAAAGGCCTTGGCTCTTTCTCGCGTTTCTCTTTGCTGCTCGCGAGCTCGAAACGCCGCACTGTGCACACTTGGAGCGACCGCTAGCACGTGTATATACCTGCAAAACCGTAACTGGCTCTCTTCGTCGTTCTTTTTTTTTTCTCTCCTCGCGGCCTCTTTGGATTGTCTGTCGCGTCTGAGAAAGAGAGAGAGAGCAGCAGCATCCAGCGCCAGCGAGCTGCACTGGCACACCACACACACTGAGAAGACGGAAACCTCTTTACAGTTGAGTCGAGAGAGAGCGAGAGAGACTCTGCGCGACGTGCTTTAAGGAGAGGGGAGCCCAGCTACCAACACACAGACGCGAGCCAAGTGACGAGAGAGAGAGAGGAGAGTACCGAGGGATCCACACCGCACGTGCATTCGTCTCTCTCGCTACTCGGTTGAACCTTCAATCTCGCCGTTCAATTTTTTTCTCTCTTTTTGTTGCTAAACAATCGCCGAACAACTCATGCGAAAATCGTTGAACTCCACCGGTGCGCACTTCACGTCCGACAAGCTCTCTCTCTCTCTCTCTCTCTCTCTCTTTCTCCTCATTTCCGTCGTTCTCTCACCCACGTCGCCGCCGCCTTCCTATTTCTGTCTGCGCTCCGCTCTATGGTTTGTAAGCAGCCGGCGCGCCACTCGAGGGAGAGCCCGCCAGAGCAGGACTGAAAAACCTATAGCAGAGACTCTCTCTCTCTCTCGTACGAGCGTCTCTATCCGCAGTGCGGAGCGCACTTTCATTCCTTCTCTTCCGTTCCGAATGCAAGGCAAGGCGGTGAGCTAGTTTTTGCCGCTCCCATAGACGCGTTATTCGCGACTTAGCAGGCGCTCGCGACGAGCGAGGGGCTCTCGAGCGCCGCCGTGCCCCGAAAAGCGCGACTCGCTCGGCCGCCGAGAAGCGAGGACTCGAGCGGTTCGAAAGCTCGCGGTCCGACGGCTCATCCTCGTGCCGCAGCTCCGCCGTGCACGTCGACGGGCGCGCCGCGAACGAGAACCGCGTGACGCGTTCGCGCTAATTTATCGCCAGTCCGGGACCGAAGGCTGCCAGCGAGGGAAGTGCACTGTTGCGAGCGGCTATCGGCTGAACTCTGGCCTCGCGTGCGCGCGCGTAATATTACGTCGCGCCGCCTTCGTCGGCAGTCGAGCTTCGCGCGCCAGGCCAAATGGCTGCGGGCGTCGTTCGCCTTCTAGCTTTGTCGCTCGCTCTATTTCTGCGCCAGGCGCACCGTAAGTATTGGATCCCTTCGTTTCCGCGCTTATCGCGGGCCAACTTTCGGATTTTCCTTTTCCTTCGCGGGGCTCGGGCGCGCCAGTGCATCGCGCACTCGGGCCAACGTCGAAGTTGATTTACGCGGAGGACATTCGGCTTCGGAAAATTTTCACGAGTATCACGTTTGAAGAGTGTACGTTGGCTTCGCTCGACTGGAATATTTGCCACATACGGATTGACGATCGCGGAAAATCATTGAACGATAAAGTGACTAATCTGCCGTGTGCGCACATTTGAATTTATGCAAATGATCGATACGCGAACGCCTGTCGCTCGGTTCGCTGCTTTTACGAGAGACGATGCGACGAGGAACAGACTTTATAGGTGCCGAAACGTCGTCTGCACTTTAGCGTTAAAAGAATATGCGTCGTCGACGACAACCAAGACAGAAAGATGATATTGCTAATGGCCGCTTCGCGATTGGTAGAGCAATTCCGTTAGTCCTTGAATTTTTCTACCTCCGAACTCTGCCCCGCCTCTCGACAAAGAGAGCGCGAATTCGGAGTACGCAGTAATGGACGTGTGAATTGCAATTCGAGCAGCAGTGAGCACAGCGAGATGCAGCATCGACGTGAGCGTGGACTTGAACGCAAGCTCGCCGCTGCTGCTTGACTCCCGCGGTCTGGAAGTCGTCTATCCAAGCAAAAGCCAGCCGCGCGTCTTGTCGCTTTCGCCCGGCGACGAGCGCGTGCTGCACTGCCTCGGCGGCACACTGCAGCCGGGCCTGGGTTCGGCGAGCGACCTGTCGAGGTGCGTCGGCGGAAAGACGTTCTCGAGCGTGGCCAAGCGCAAAGAGTACTCGATCGACCGGGTGCACTGCTCGAAGAGTCCCGACGCCACGACGAGAGAAGACGCCGCGCGGAAATGCAAGAACGGCGTGGTCGTGAACCTGGGCTACGAGTTGAGCTCCGGGTTCCTCACCACGATCGACCTGTGCTACGTGGACGAGTTGGCCACGACCAGTTGGGCTCACTCGAAGATCCCCGGCGCCGTGAACGGTTTCAGGAGCAGAGAGCCTCAAACCGCCTCTTTCGGCAAAGGCAATTACTTCAAGAGCGTGCTGATGGGAAACGTGTATCCTAGGAATAACCAAGTGCAGACCTTCATGCAGATTTTCGATGGGAATAAAGATCTGGTCGACAAGTATCTTCCTGCCAGTGGTGAGTACTGCACCACCCCCAGATCAGCCTCGGCAAGTGCTCAACATCAAAAAACAATAGTTTTCACTTTCGACGAATTTGCTCTTTTCGTTGCTTGTAGATACACAATACGTGTAATTTATTAGTAGTGTCTTATTCAGTATTCAATCAAATCATATCGGAGCGAAGTTCTTCAAGTGGAGAGCAATTTTGTCGAAAGCTCAAGACTTACAAAATATCGTCATTTTACGTGGATACCGCGGACAAAGGTTAGGCACAATTCAACAATTCCCATGCGAATGAAGACTATTTTTCTTTTTATTTTTAATTTCACGTTGAGTATTTTCCGGGGCTGATCCGGGGACGGTGACTAACGCGCGGTACGTCGGCGAATGCTCACGAGACGCACTGCCGCTGCACCCAGGCGACAAGAACTACTTGGTGAGGGGCCATCTGGTGGCTCGAGCCGACAAGTTTTATCACGCGGAGCAGCGCTCGACGTACTTCTACGTGAACGCGCTGCCGATGTGGCAGAGCATCAACAACGGCAATTGGCGCGTCGTGGAGGCGACGGTGCGGCGTATCGCCGGCATCGTCGGCGAGATGGAGGTCTGGACCGGTGGCCTCGGCGTGCTGCGGCTCTCGGACCGCGAGATCTATCTGGCCACCGACAGGCGTAACGACAACAGGCGACTCGTGCCCGCGCCCAAGCTCCTGTTCAAGCTGGCCTACGACGCGAAGAGCAACGAGGCCCTGGTCTTCGTCACCGTCAACAATCCCTACGCGGACGACGCGTCGCTGGCCCGCGAGTACAAGACCTGCGGGGCGTATCGCCAGTGCGACGACAAATTCGCGCAGTTTCGCCAGAGGCGCGAGGGTTACACCTACTGCTGCACCTACGACGAATTCGTCAAGAGTTGGCCGGACCTTTTACCGCTGAACATTAGCAACGCGAAGCCTCTGACTTTGCATTAATGCGATTGGGCGAACACGAATTTCGAATGAACGGGCTGCCGAGTTGTTAATCGAGCTGTAGGTCAAAACTTTCTCTCTCTCTCTGTCTCTCGGTGCCGCCGGCTGATTTCAATCGAGTAATCGTAACTGCTTACTTGAGCAGATTATTTGTTCTATTGCCGCAGAGATGATATACGTAAGGGATCGAAATACTTTTCAGGTGAGTGTGTAGCGACGAGGACATTTGAAAGAAGCTGGCCGTCGGCAGAACGAGGTGCTCCGATCTCGTAAGCATTTCCCATCGAGGCAGTAAACAAATTCGACGAGTCGCCGTGAGAGAAACCGTCGGCTCGTCTCCCGACGCGATCAGCGTTCACGGAAATCGAAAGCGAGGGCCGACTGCGACGTACGGCGTGCAGCTTCGTCCGAGAGCTGACGCACACGTGCGGCGCACTTGTGAGCCACGCGAGGCAAGCCTCTGTGGCTGACTTTGAAGAAAGATGCGCAAGCTCTTCGAAAAGTTCGTCACATTGTGACAAAGGCGCAAGAGACTCGCGGAGCGATATAGAAACGCTAATGGGGGAAGGGGAGAGAAGAAGCGCTGTTTTTCCCCTCGGTCGTCGCTCGCGTACGGCAATTTCCTGAAATCTCCGATAGTGAATTTATCTGAATGAGATGGCCGCGTCGACGATGAGAAGGAACTCCGTGATGATTTGCTCACATACAACTTCGTATCTCTCTAGCTCTTTTTTATTTTTGCTCGCTTTTTACTCGTTCGCGACATTCACGCGCATACCGGTCTTTTATCGCGATCAACCAAACCGGAGTGCAATTATAATAAAGTTTTTCCATATCGGTTTATTCAATTTCGGCAGTGAGGCATACGCGATAAGTATATAGCTATTCGGAAACTGCCTTGGATGATCAGAAAGCGGCAATAACATGCCGATGAAAATGGAATGAAGAAATTAAGAAAGCAACGGTAGGTAGAAGCTATGAGAACTTGAGTACTCACTGACAAACCGCTGTAATGGAGGCACTTATAGGCACAGAGCAGTTAACAAGCACGCGCCGAGGAAAAAGGACCCGAGGACGGTGGTGCAGGCAGACAAGGCGCGTATATCTCGACGCGGCGACGTCGGAGGAAGGAAGAGGCACACTGAGAGAAAGAGAGCGTGGGTCGTTATCGCCTTTGAACTCCGGTCCCGATAAAATCCTCGTCGCCGCGCTGAACGAGCCAGCTCCGACGGTTTCGGCTGCGCGCGCTAATTTACGCGCTCTGTGGCTCTTTCTCTTCTTCATTTCTTAATTCGTTTGTTCGCGCGAATTGCCCAATCGCAGATAGCTTTTCGTGTTATTTCTTCGTTTATCTTAACATTTTGTTTTATTGGTGGGTGCAATACCGACACGAACGTTTTCATTTGCTGGGAACCGTTCCTTAATTTTCATATTATTCATTTTTAACGCTTTTCTTATGACGTTCTGCTCTTTCGATATTCTTGATGATGCCGTATTTATCCTCGTGTAATTCGCCGCCCCCTCTTCTTTTGGGACACGCCATGTATAGACGCCCACGGATGCGATTGCACCCTTGTCTCTGGTGAAAAAAAATCAATATTTTGGTACATTTTATATATGCACGGGTAAATTTTATCTTATTTTTATTTTATTTTGTTAACAAGATACGAACATGAATGTGAAATTAACATTTCTGAGTTATTTGTAAATAACTTTACGTATAATTCGCAGTTCCATTAAAAGGTGCAAAGCAATCATAAGTCAAAGCACAACAATAAGTAAAAAATAGATACTGTGAAAATTTTTGAATTTTCTGAAAGTAATGCAAAATTTATAGAATTGAAAATAAATAATAAATATAAGTTATGACGAATTAAGAAAAAAAATTAAAACTACACTCGAATAAATTGATGAAACATACAATGTAAATATTTTCTGTACAATATAAAGCATATATATTTTCTTAGAATCATTTACAAGTTCGTTGAATTTTATTAAAAACAAGTTTTAGATAAAAATACCAATCTAATTTGAACAAATAAATATTTACACCTATGTAATTATAAAGGCTGATATATGTTATTAAAGAAAAACGTATATAAAACTAGTTTCAAATTGTATGAAAACTAAATAAGTAATAAGTACATAGTCGAAAGTATTTTGAAACTCGCGGGTGAATGTTACAGTGCCATCTATATTACCGTTGACTTATCTCTTTTACGCGTATTTCCGCCATTTCCGCCCGGCCCGGCTTCGGCGTTATGATTGCCGGCGGAATCGTCGCGGCTCCTCCATTTTTTTTCTGCTTTGAACGGCGTCGGTTGCCAACTGGCGGATTTTTGTTGTCGTTGTGAATGGCCACTTTGGTAAGAGGCATCCTTGCGGCCGAATCCATATACATCGGTTCTGTTACTGATCATGGCCTTGTAAAATAATGTGAGTTTAGTAGCTTACGATTCCATTTAAATTTTTACTTGAATATTTTTCTCTCAATTAGTGTATTTTGTCTGCTTTTTTGGAGTAACCTAATCAGGACATTGCTTATGCCTTAACGTAATAAATTGTTTGTCCGTATGTTGGTTTTTACTCGCGATGGTTGAAAAACAGTAGATTTTAGTTCTCGACATTCGTATGTTGTAATAACCTTAATGTGCGATAATCGTAGCAAATTTGGATAATTTTCATACTTTTCAGTTGATAAAGCTAACATAAATTTCGTAAATTTTTAAAACTCGATTTCGAATAATTTGTTTTTTTATGTTCTGTCATACATCATTCCTTTCGGTGGTTTTCCACTTGGTAATTTTATCTTTTCAATCTGCACTCTCATTTACTGCATTATTATATAACCTACATTCTGGACAAGTGAGATAATTTTTTTCAAACAAACAATTATCTTTTGCATTTTAATTATTTTATATTATTTTCAGTATACACAGACATTTTTTTCATCAAGAGTGATCATTCTTACTTTTTAATCATCGAGAACTTCACTGGAAGAACTTTGACAAGATGTATTTGTACAACTTAACCCTGCAGCGTGCCACAGGCATCACACATGCCGTTCATGGAAACTTTTCTGGCACCAAGATGCAGGAAATCTTGGTGTCCAGGGGGAAATCATTAGAACTTCTTAGGCCAGACCCTAACACTGGCAAAGTCCATACGGTACTTACAGTTGAAGTATTTGGTATAATCAGATCTCTGATAGCCTTCAGATTGACTGGTGGTACAAAGGATTACATAGTTGTTGGATCTGATTCCGGGCGCATTGTCATATTGGAATATATCCCTGCTAAGAATATCTTTGAAAAGGTCCATCAAGAAACTTTTGGAAAGAGTGGTTGTAGAAGAATTGTTCCTGGGCAATATTTGGCTATTGATCCTAAGGGTCGTGCTGTCATGATTGGTAAGGAACATGACATTTGAAGACATATTCTCCTTAACAAATTCAAGTGATTACTATACCTATCCGTGTTTCAACTGAATAAATGTTGATTATATACTTAGATAATGATGGAAATAAATTTATTAATTTTTTAATGTGGTTAGTCACATAAATTTACATATAGTTATTTTGTATTTTTTAGGAGCTGTTGAGAAACAAAAACTTGTCTACATTCTCAATCGAGATCCAGAGGCAAGACTTACCATTTCATCACCTCTTGAAGCTCACAAGAGTAACACCTTAGTCTACCATTTGGTGGGAGTAGATGTAGGCTTTGAAAATCCAATGTTTGCTTGCCTTGAAATTGATTATGAGGAGGCTGACTCTGATCCAACAGGAGAAGCTGCTATTAAGACTCAGCAAACACTAACTTTTTATGAACTTGATCTTGGTTTAAATCATGTCGTACGAAAGTACAGTGAACCATTGGAGGAGCACGCAAATTTCCTTGTATCTGTTCCTGGTGGTCATGATGGACCTAGTGGTGTTTTGATTTGCTCTGAGAATTACTTGACCTATAAGAATTTAGGTGACCAGCCAGATATTCGCTGTCCAATTCCAAGACGTAGGAATGACCTTGACGATCCTGAACGAGGAATGATTTTTGTCTGTTCAGCTACTCACAAGACAAAGAGCATGTTTTTCTTCCTTGCTCAAACAGAACAAGGGGATATTTTTAAAATCACCTTGGAGACAGATGAAGATGTAGTAACTGAAATCAAACTAAAGTATTTTGATACAGTACCAGTAGCTACAAGCATGTGTGTCTTGAAAACTGGTTTTCTGTTCATTGCATCAGAATTTGGTAATCACTACCTGTACCAGATTGCTCACCTTGGTGATGATGATGACGAGCCTGAATTCAGCTCAGCTATGCCTCTTGAGGAGGGAGACACATTCTTCTTTGCACCTAGACCATTAAGGAATCTCGTTCTTGTTGATGAAATGGACAGCTTATCACCAATCATGACTTGTCAGGTAAAGTTTTTAATGTTTTTAATCAAAGAATAGCACTCGCAAGTAGAGAAATGATCATGCTCAAGTTGTTTCTCTGTGAAGAGTGCCAGAGTAATTATGCTTTGTCGCCTTTGAATTGTAATTGCATTTCGAAGTGAATCAAAGTATAACATGGATTTACAACATAAAGCTTTTGATTTGTAAATATAAATAAAGTGAAGAAAATTGAATTTTAATGTGATTTCAATTTTCAGGTTGCTGACTTGGCTAATGAAGATACCCCACAACTTTACATTGCTTGTGGACGTGGACCTCGCTCAACTCTCAGGGTCTTAAGACACGGTCTTGAAGTATCAGAAATGGCTGTGAGTGAACTGCCCGGTAATCCTAATGCTGTATGGACTGTGAAGCGGCGTATTGACGGTTAGTGAAAAACTTATTGTATACACCGGAATATATTTTAGACTACTCTTTTGCAAAGGTGTTCAATATTCTAGAATTTGTCACTCTGATTTTCACACTTTAGCAAACTTCTTTTTTTTTACTTTCAAACCCTGTTAAACCTCGTAGAAAAAATCGTATAATAATCAAATCTTTAAGTAATTCATATTTTGGTGTTGAATCAATGAAATAAGATTTCTACTTGGAATGAACAAATTTAAAAAAGTAAAGATAATAGCAGTCTGGTGGTTTGATACACTCTTATCAAACACCAGTTCTCTCCTTTCAGGCGATCAACAACCCATGCTCTGTCTATTAAAACCAGGCTCATGAAAGTGCAAAAGGTAAAGGAAGCTGCTTTTGCGTGAGAAAACTATCCACGGAACTACGCAATTTAAAATTTTATTTTTAAAACACTTGAAATTTTTTACCTCCATCATTGATTGATAATTCAATCACTGATGGTTATTAATGCAGAGAAATCTGTAATACAATGATGTGCATTTCAAGCGATTCCGTTAAGCTGGACAAACTATTTTTTATTCTGTTTTCAGAGGAATTCGATGCTTACATCATAGTGTCCTTCGTGAACGCCACCTTGGTACTTAGTATCGGTGAAACCGTCGAGGAAGTCACTGATTCGGGATTTCTTGGAACTACGCGTACGCTCAGTTGTTCAGCTCTTGGAGATGATGCTCTGGTTCAGGTAATTTTTAATTTTAATATATTGAAAGAATGAAAAGTGTCTGATTGAAGCACTGCGGTATCTTCGATGTCTGGAACTTCTCCACGCGTCGGTCGCAAGAAAGTGCAATATGAAATTGAGTTTTAGGTTGGTTTGCTTGTTATTTGCTAAAGCATTCCGTTCACGAGCTCAAATATTTCAAATCAATAATCTTGATGGTTGTGATTAATAATTGATATTTTAACCAAACTAATATTCGTGGTACTTTTTACAGGTTTACCCTGATGGTATTCGCCATATTCGAGCAGATAAGAGAGTTAACGAGTGGAAGGCACCGGGCAAAAAAACAATCATCAAATGTGCCGTCAATCAGCGACAGGTCGTCATCGCCTTAACCGGCGGCGAACTTGTTTACTTTGAAATGGACCCTGTAAGTTCACTAATATTATGTTTTCTCTGAAACGATGGCGTTCTGTTCACTGCGAGTAATCATTTGGTATGCTCGGAGTTGTAAAGGACGCGTAAAGTAATTAGCCTCATCCCATCTTCGTCGCGTCACTGTTGCTTGCCGAAGTCGTTATGATGCCAACACTTTTTTATTTATTAAAATAATCCTTTTATATTTCTATTGGAATGTTGAAAACTAACTCACCACTTTATCATAGACCGGCCAACTAAACGAGTACACGGAGCGTAAAAAGATGCCATCGGAAGTGATGTGCATGGCCCTTGGAAATGTAGCAGCAGGAGAGCAACGTTCTTGGTTTTTAGCCGTTGGTCTTCAGGACAATACTGTGCGTATAATCTCGCTTGATCCGTCAGACTGTCTGTCGCCGAGGAGTATGCAGGCCTTGCCAGCAGCTGCTGAAAGTTTGTGTATCGTTGAAATGGGTATCAAGGATAACGATGCTGGCGAAGACAGCAATCAAATACAGTCGACGCTACATTTAAATATTGGTACGTTGTTGAAATGCTATCTTTATTTATTTGGTATCGCTTAAAATGGAGTTTATGAATGATTATTTTTATCAGTCCGTGTTTCACCTGAAAGCATTGATTACAACCTCTGAAAATGACTATTTCTTAAATATATTAAGAAGAATTAGTCGAGTTGTTTCGCAAAAAATGATATTAAATTTTATTCATCAGGTTTGCAGAACGGAGTACTGCTGAGAACAGTATTGGATCCTATATCGGGTGATCTGTCAGATACCAGAACCCGTTATCTCGGTTCTAGGCCAGTACAACTTTTCCGTATAAAAATGCAGGGCAAGGAAGCTGTTCTCGCTATGAGTAGTCGCTCTTGGCTTAGCTATTACTTCCAAAATCGCTTCCACCTTACCCCATTATCTTACGAGAGTCTCGAGTACGCATCGGGATTCAGCTCCGAACAATGTCCGGAAGGTATCGTTGCCATCTCAACGAATACTTTAAGGTGAACGAGAGATATTTATTTGGTTGTTATAATGTGGTAAAAGCATTGTGGTATCTCCGGCGTGCGTTCTCCGTTCCACTGCCGGTCGTAAAACAGTGCGAGATAAAATTAGGCTTTGCATCGTTGGTGTGCTGCAATCATTCTTAATGTACTCCTGGTAAACGGGCCTAAACAATTAAAAATCACTAAATTTTAAGCTTAATAAGAATATTTTTGTCTATTTCGTATAATATTTTTAGGGCAATTCTGAAGCGTAACGGTTTTCTTATTCTTTTCCAGAATTTTGGCCCTGGAAAAACTTGGAGCGGTATTCAATCAAGTCAGTTTCCCACTGGAGTATACGCCACGCAAGTTTATTATCCATAACGAGACGGCGCACATTGTGGTGATCGAGACAGAGCATAATGCTTATACTGAAGAGACCAAGCAGCAGCGACGATTGCAAATGGCCGAAGAAATGCAAGAAGCTGCTGGTGCTGAGGAAGCGGCTGTAGCTCGAGAGCTCGCCGAGGCTTTTCTCTCGGAAGAACCAAACGAGCAGGTCTTCGGTGCACCTAGAGCTGGTCCTGGACTATGGGCTTCGATGATCAGAATTATGGCGCCGACTTCGGGAAATACTTTCCAGGTTCATAGGCTGGAACAAAATCTTGCTGCCATGTGGTAAGTTTCGTTTCGTTGCTCTGTTTATCAAATATTTTATAAAACATGTTTTTGTGGTATTTGAAGAACTATAATATCGCGTTTCGTTCTCTGCAAATGTTGTTATCAACCTGTAGATAGCAAAAACGCGAATATCAAATTGCTGCTATATCCCATCTTCAGTCTGTATCTGTTGCTTACTGAAGTCGTAAGTGAGCAAACACTTTTAAAATTGTTATAAATCAGTTAGAGTTGAAGTGGATTACAATAATATTTATTGACTAAATAAAGAGTATTAAAATATATTATCTTTTGTTTCAGCTTGGCTTTTGTTAAATTCGCTAATAATCCACAACAGTTCCTCATAGTAGGAGTTGCAAAAGAATACCAACTAAATCCAAGGATCAGCAATGGTGGTTTCTTGTACACGTACAAGTAAGTGTTATCAATAAAATTCTCACTCACGTTAATTATTTAGTTGATATTAATTTCTTAAAGATAAATTAATAAATGTTGAAATAACTACTCTGAATGATGACAATATCACACTAACTGCTCATTGATGAGAACCCTGCAGTACTGACTTTAAATTCTTAAAAAAAAAATAATATTTTTCTTCTTTTTTTAACATTGAATAACATATATGCTTTTTGATTTCAGAGTGAATGCCGAATGCACATTTATCGAACTCATACACCGTACGACGCTTGACGAGATTCCCTTGTCAATTTGTCCGTACCAGGGTCGCGTTTTAGTAGGCGTTGGTCGTATGTTGCGCCTCTATGACCTTGGCAAGAAGAAACTGTTACGCAAATGTGAAAATAAACATATCCCGAATGCTGTTATTTGCATCAATGCCATTGGTCAGCGAATATACGCCAGTGACGTACAGGAGTCGGTTTATGCTGTCAGATACAAGCGACAGGAGAATCAGCTCATCGTATTCGCTGACGATACGCACCCGAGGTGGATTACTACTACTTGTGTACTTGATTATGACACTGTTGCTACGGCTGACAAATTTGGAAATATTGCTGTGGTGAATACTCTTTTTATCTTGCTTATTTTGCTTATATTGCTCCTTGGCCATGAATGTCTTCACTCGTGAATTCTATTTTTTCATACACAGGTTCGTTTAGCAAGTGGAATAAACGATGATGTAGACGAAGATCCAACAGGGAATAAGGCACTTTGGGATCGTGGTTTATTGAATGGCGCGTCTCAGAAAGCCGACACTGTCGCTTGCTTCCACGTAGGCGAAACGGTGATGTCGTTGCAAAGAGCTACTCTTATTCCTGGAGGTAGCGAGTCACTGGTATATACCACGTTGAGTGGTACTGTCGGTGTCCTCGTGGCATTCACTAGCCACGAAGATCATGACTTTTTCCAACACTTGGAGATGCATATGAGGTCTGAACATCCTCCCATTTGCGGTCGCGACCATTTGAGCTTCAGGTCTTATTACTATCCGGTGAAGAACGTGATCGATGGTGATCTTTGTGAGCAGTTCAACTCTATTGAACCTGCAAAGCAAAAAAGCATAGCAGGAGATCTCGAGAGAACACCGGCAGAAGTATCGAAGAAACTTGAAGACATTAGAACACGTTACGCATTCTAAACGGGTTTTTGCATAGACCTTATTTCAAAGTATTGGACGCAGTGTAATCACATTCTTTTTTTGCACTCAACTATTGTACGTTTCCTCATCATTCAACCAAGTGGTTAAGTAACTTTTGTAAATATTGACTTCATTTTAGTGATAATTTTACGGCATTTACTTGTATGAGAATTTCTTTACTTCTGTAAGATTGTACATAATAATAATTTATTCAATTTTCAGTATAATATGTTATCTCATTCTTTTTAGCAATTCAGATTATTTTATTATGATCTTATTACTTTATTTCAATAAAAATTTACTGCCGTCTTTAGTTTTATAAAAAATCTTATCTTTAAAAGATGCTCATATAGAATTTATAATTACTGATTGAAACTTCAAATTCATATCACGTCTGTATGCAAGGTCGTATTAATGCTCAGATTTAAATTGCATATTTGCAAAGATTGAATTTACATCTATTCATTCTGATGAATAAATAGAAACATTCATGAAATTATAATATTTAAAGAAGGTAAAGTCGTCTCTTAAATCACAATTGTAATGGCTCGATAAATTTGATCTGGAACTTCAGCTCCATCAATAGTTTCATATACGCTTTCCTTTATTAATTTATAAATGGCTGGTCAAATCAGTCGACCAGCTGAAGCTCGAGTCTGTGTTATTGAACTCAAGAATAAAAGCTTCCATTCAAGCTCAAGTTGAAGAGACTCAAATAGTTGCATTTTGATTGATATTCAGGTTGTGACCTCGGTTAATATTTTGAAAATTTCATTAAATTAAATTTTAATGTTAGATATTTATGGACTTATATAACGTAATTAATTTGTATTTCATATTGAAAAAAATTTAATTAATTGCCAAAAACATATATATAATAGGCTTTTAAATGCGACATGAAAAGAGCACTGATCCTAGTTTATAACGTTCGTTCCAGTTCGTGTATCTCATCAATGTGGACTATGAATCTCTATGCTGGTTGCTATCCTATATACGTCAATATCCACGTTGATTTGTTCATGGCGACCTTGATTATGGAAAGTTTTTTCGATGCTTATTGAAAATGAGCCGTCGTTATTACCAAAACTGTCTTTCAAATTATCTTCGTTATCAATCGTGTGAAGTATTAAATTGCACATTACACGTTACGAAATACTTGTTTGCAATACTCCTCGATTTTGTAACTATTAGTCCAATCAGTGTAGTTAGCCGATATAACCCGAGGCATGCCGTTACAGGTCAATTGGAGGGCATATGCCTCCCCCAGGTTATGCTTCCAGATTGGAAATTACGAGTCGCCATACAAGACGTTACAGCCGTCAACATATTGGTGCGCCAATCCTAAGCCAAGGAGTTTCATGGAGGGCTGTAACGTAGCCTTCGTTGTCAAATAAAATACTGACGCATATAGGTTGCATGGTGACGGTGCCGTCAACTGTGTTAAATTTTCATTTTAAATATCGTAATAATTCAGGTCAAAGGTCTGCAAAATGTATACATATACCCTTCAAGCTACTAGTGGCACTGTAGCGTATATAATGTTTTTCAGCTTTTAATTTGAATGTGCAAGTCGTTATGTTGTTATCCTTTTAAATTATTTATTCCAACTTGCAATATAACTACGTTTATTACTTCGATTGTTTTATTTGCGTTTTGTAGATAATATCGATTGCAGACAAGTTTATTTTTTCTTTCTCTAAAAAAGCTATGAGGCTATGTGATTGTATGTGGATTTGCAGGACTTGCCATTCCGCTTGCCAAGCTCTTTAACTCGTTAATTACAGTCATAGCCATCATCTGCATACTACCATCAGGCATCTTCACTCACGTCGTTCTGCTTTACTTGTACGTTGTTTCGTTTGACGTTGTACTATTTGTTGCAAGTAGTGGTGCAGTATATACTTATACTGAAATAATAGTGTAGAATGTGGAAAGCGTGTTCAGGAAAAGCAAATCCGACCTAAATATTTTTCTCCGACCTTAAATTAAGATTATGAATCTCTGTCCTCTAGTTTGACGCATTTTGAAGAGAACTCTCAACTTTTCTATTCGCACTGTATTTACGGTATGCGTACTCTTTCTATCTCGTACACCTTACTTGATCTAATGCTGATTCATACGGAGGTAGTAAATAAGAAAATAGATACAATCATTATTACTATTAACATTATTATAAATAGTTGACAGAGGAGAGAGAGGCATAATGAGTGAATCTCAACTCATTAAAAATTATAATTTTGATTGTAAATTAAAACTTTTATTAAAAAATGAGAATTTCAATTAATAATAAGAATGTAATGAAATAATGTTTTTCTGGCAGACTTCGACTGAGTAAAGTGTTTAAAATTAGTTATCTTTCCGTTTCAAAGAAAACAATGATGTAATCTAGTGGTTTAATAATAAATAGTTAAACGCGTTAAACATTCATAAGAAAACTGAATTAGTTAAATAAGATAAATGTCTGCGAATATGCTATTAAAAATAGGAAATAACCCCATCAAATATTTAATAAAGTATACATCATATGAATGTTTGCATTAAAATGATAATAAAATAAATGGATAGCAATTGAAAAAAATGTGTTTTTGAAGCATCTCCAGCGAAGCAGCTTTGGTCTCCGAGCTCCAAGACGGGAATAATGCTTTCAATTGCAATTTCCGTGTTGTAGCGCGTTGATCAAAGCATTCGCTGCTTTTCCACTTTGAAAAAGGTCGCGTGCACGACATCGAATCCTACCACGCAAGATTAAAAAAAATAACGTAATGGAGAGATACGGGCGCGACGACACGTCTCCAACGCTTCCTTTTACAAAATACGTTCATTCTCTTCAATCATTTAATCTGCGTCGGGGTGACTGGCCTAATTCGTACAAGATGCTACGAATAATGCCAAAAGGCTGCAGAGTTTCTATTCATATTGCAAATAAAGTTTATCATTAATGTAATACTTGATTGAAGTCCGTCCGATAGCGGGTAATCCGTCGAGATCCGACGAAGCGAACTTGGAAGAAGAAAAAGTCTGCCTTTCGGGAGAGAAAGCGCGAGGAGGCTACGGTCAAACGCACAAAGGAGAGATGCATGCGTTGCCAGCCGGCCGGGAGCGAAATACGTCCATTGAAAGCGTAGATAAAAGCAGATAATACGCGTCGCGTGATGCGCGCGGAGGGCTTCGAAAATGACTCGTCGAGATGCTGGCTATGACATCACGAGGCACGACTCGACACGATTCAATAGAACAATTGGAGATTTGGTTGAAAGAACGCTGTCGGAGCGCGAGGGAGAAAGGGAAAGAGAGAATTAGTAAAGTGTGTCTGTGACCCGTGGCCTTTCTCGGTCCCCATTCCGACTCTCGTGAATCACCGGCTATTTTGCTCAACTGTACTTCTTCCTTGTTCTTCTCTTATCATTGCTCTCTAAGACACCCGACTGAAATGACCAGCTCCTGGATCGGTCTGCTTATCCTGGCTGCCTGCCTCGACCTCGCGGTGCACGCCGAAGTTGTCCCCTTCAAAGCATGCCCCGAAAGTAAGTCTTGTTCATATCTCGCTTCATCTCTCGCTCTTCGCTTATGCGCACCTTTCAATTTTATCACGCGACGCCTATCGGCAATCGATGATTTTTCGTTTTGCTTAGAACTTTTGCCTTTTCAAGTTTCCATCTCTTTATTCCTAGTCAGAAAATCTTAGTCGTTTGTTTTTTCAACGTTTAATTTATTAAATAATTAAGCTATACAAATTTGAATTTTTTTTTCAAAATATTAAATTAATGTTTCATTGAAAGAATACTTAAATTGGTTCTATTTAAAAAATTCTCCGCTAAAAGCTAATAATAAGCCAATTGTTTATTTCAGACAACTTATTGACGTGCCCTTTTGGGAAGTTCGACTGAATAATAATTTTCTATCAAAGTTTGGTCGATTCATTGTTATATCCGTGTAAACTTTGAACGGAGCATTTAAACAAAAACTATTATTTAATTTATAGTTTTTAAAAGATTTTTTTTTAATAACGCGCTATTAGATATTATAACATTTTTAACTACAGCTGTTCGCGGATACCCAAATTGAAAAATATTTTATAACGTAACTTTAGTAAAAAAAATTGTTTCCTCAGAATAAAATAAATTTTGAATATTTTACACTAAGTTTAGCAGTTTATCACAATAAATTTCGTTTTTCGATGGTAGAAACAAAAGTGACTCACAAAAATAATTTTATTATGTAACATTGCCAATACGTAATATATTATCGAGTTAGCATGTGTAGCCAAAGATATTTTCAACTCTAGATGACGTGAACATGCATATCACCTGCATTTTAAATAGAACCAATATGCGAACTTTATATCGATTATTCTGTAATAACTAATAAATATAATTCCGATTAAGAAGTTTTCTTAAAGCCACAGTTGCAAAAAAAGTATCTTAAAGTATTTATATTAAAATAGAAAACAGATTAAAGAAGTAGACAATTCAAAAAAGGCATAAATTACCATTTAAGTTAAAAATATCAATAATAATTTTAACACTTCTTAAAATTTACTACTCATTGGTCACTCGGTATAACAAATTGATAATATATAAGTAGTAGTACTTATAAAGGTCTGATGATACCTACTAATATTTTAACTTAGAAAACGACGATAACCGACATGGTTGTATTATTGATGACCCTTAATTTTTCTTTCTCTGTGTTTGTCAATTTCTTCTGTTGCGATGAAATTTCATTGCGAAGTTTTCTAACTACCTAATCTTCACTTTTCTTTTTTTCATTAAGCAAAAACCAACTTCTGCACGATAAATGAAATACGCGTTGATCCTTGCAAGGAAGCAGCCCAAGGTAAAGCTTGCGTGTTGAAAAAAGGCGAGGATGCGACAATCAGCTACGACTTTACTCCAAGTGAGTTATTTTTCGTTTTTCATACCGACGTAGTTTAATTTGGTATATAGGTTCATCAAGAACTTTTAATAAAATATCAGATGTACACAATAAATTGCTCTCTATTAAAAAATCGCTAGTATACCGGGTATATTATTAGTTAATTGTTCATAATCCGTACTAATACGTATTAATCAATACATTATTTTTGAAGAGTTTGAATCCAAAAACTTGGAATCCCGAGCTTTCTGGTCTAATCAGCTGATAGATTTACCTTTCATGGGTATGGAAACAAATGCTTGCAAAGAAGGAACAACGTGTCCTTTAAAGAAAGACGCTCAAAACACTTACAAGATAAAATTGCCTATACTCAAGGAATATCCCGCTGTAAGTTGATTATCATTATAATGTATTATCCATAAATTTTTTACCACAAATAAACTTGATACTATTGAGAACACGTGCACATTTTCAGAGACCATTTGATGTTAAATTCAAATTATGGAATACGGATAAAGATGAAGAAAATTGCTGCTTCATGATTCAAGTCAAGCTGGTCAAATGAAATACATCCAATCATTATTTGATTTGAAACAAATACCCTTATGTGAAAATTGACGGTGGACATTAAAAACTATTAAAATAATTCGAAAAACTATTGACTATTTCAAACAATTATTTATTCTTGGCCATGATCGATTCCCTATTTTTACGTATAACCTTCCATATAAATCTTATCTCATTATTTCGACTAAGTAAGCCAAACAACTTGCACGACAATCGCTATTTAATACGATTGTTCATGTTTAGTCTTCAACAATCTAAAGATTAAAACGAGTTGCATGTTCGAGATTTAACAGTGCAGCAGCAGAGATTGTATAAATATATAAATTTGGTGATTCCCGTGTGGGAATTGAAAGTGTTGCGAATATATTGCGCACACATTGGCGAAAAATTCTTTCGGATAGCTTGACAATATCTCGGTAAAACAAAGTACATTTTACAGCTCTGCGCGGTTTAAATCAGCACTTAAGTAACGCCTGTCCGTTACTTAAGTAGCTCATTTTTGCGCTGTGCCCCGACCACAAAATGTAAAATTGAACCGTTTTAATTCACGGATAAACGAACCGTAAGTGCTGATTTAAGATCGGCAATGCCATAAAATGCTGTACGATATTTATGACTCAAGTATCACGTCATGTAAACTTTACAGAAGTAGATATCGATCATTTTAGTATAATTTACAATCATCGCAAAAAGTATCGTCAAAAGTTATTAACTAATTAAGTTAATTAATGTGATAGCGCAATATTTACAATAAAACAATGATAAAATGTTACATATATCACTAGTAGAAGTAATTCCTAAAAAGAAATACTTAAATTAGTTAATAACATTTGAATTATAATCATTTTTTGTAAAATCTTATAATGCAAATACTAGATTAGTTAATTAAGATCAATAAATTATAAAGTTGTCGTTGTTATGTACAAAATTAACGCTTTCGATCTATATACAATTATGTGTTTAAATAAATTATTAATTGTTTATTTATTGATAACAGTAATAACTAAGCTGTTATCAATGAAACAACTTCTTACTCATATTACTTAGATAATCTTCACGAATTTAGAGTATCCGCATTATTCTAATAATTAATATTTACAATGTAATAAACAAATGAACTTTGCACATTAAAATTCAATATAATTTAGTAGTTAAACGCAATTAAAATTGTTATAATCTAAATCTATGCCATAAAATCTATATAAAAAATGCTTTGTTTCATCGAAATCACTCTTAATTAACATATTTTAATAAAACAACAAAAACTATTATATCGATATCTGTAAATAGGTTCACGCTCCTTATATGGTCATGAAATTTGACTCTGGTACTAAGATAATCATATAATATATAAGGTGGCGCCGTTTAATATGCTAATTGATGTTAGTAGGTTGACGAGTTTAGCGGGTTGCAGTAATCCAGTGAGAATAAGAGACTAGCCTATAACAGGAACGTTACAACCAAGTAAACTTCAGGTCAAACTTTTGCCTGTTCTTGTATATCAAAGTCTGGTAAAGTTGTTGTCAATTCTCATAGAAGCATACACACGCAATAAACTGAATGTTTTTTTTTTAGTTCTGTTGAAACTTGGAATTTAGAGGGGATGACGTGGATATCGAGATCGATGGTGGTGTTTACCATATTACCGAATAAAAATTCTTCACCAACACTACCGTTCGATAAATTGCCCTTAGAGTCCCGAAATTCTGTTTTCGAGTTTCCTGCAGTTCTACTCTGTATATTTTTTTATTGTGTTAGCTGTTTCATCAGTGCCGTTTCAGGCTAAGGCTCCTCATTAATTTTATTATTGACTACCTACGAAGTAACTATGACAGCAATAAAAAACGATTACAGTAGATAATGTATAACCGAGTTTTATACTAATTAGATAAGATAAGTGCAACATTTTCTTTGGAATATATTTGAAAAACAAAAATTAAATCTATCGTTGACTTATAATTATATTAATACTACGTGTTTCGTAATAAAGAACGCACCGAATCTTTTTTTTAATAGCGTTTAATAACGTCATTCTTATAATTCAAACCTTATAATTACTTACCTTAATTTTTCTATGCACTCTGAATAAAATATATCTTAATATTTAATAATTTTATCGCTTTATAACAAGCTATGCACATGATATGTATTTTAACGAGCTAAAGGCGAATATCTGGAGTGGTTTATCGAAAAATAGACGAGTAATTAGTTAACAAATTATATGTTTAAATGGTAATAAATAATGTAATCATTTTAAAAAGAGTAGAATTAGAGATTTTGAGATTTAAACGATACTATTATTGTTACTATTATTCAGTCAGTTTGAAAGATTTGAGAGCAGTTGGAATAATTATATACGAACAAACTTCAAAAAATAAAAATATAACATAAAAATGTAATGGAAAAATTATACAAATGTATTGTCCAATAAAAAAAGTGCAAAAGATATCTACAGATATCATGCATTTATAAAGAACGAGGTAAAGCAGTGGCAAAGAAGAATTAAAGGAAGGGGCAGAAGCAAAGAGCAAAAAGGAGTATATAAGGTATATTACATGGGCAAAGATTTTATTTGTTAAAATGTCGAGAAATATGAAAGAAAAATGGAACAAAAAATGGAACAAAAAATGGAACAAAAATGGAAAGGGGCAAGTAGTTGGACAAACAAAGATGAAGGTACAAAAAGGAGTAAAGTTCCCGTTATAACAAGATAATAATGCATATGCTTGTTATAACTTGAAACGAAACGTCTTTATGATAACGAATAAACTAGCTTTCCCAAATTACACCAAGTATATGTATATTGACATAAGATATCAACGTCCACAAAATACACGCAAAAATTACATTTGCTTGTAAATTATAAATATTTACAAATTAATCAAGGTTCGCCTGCACCTAGTAGAGATCATTGAACGATAATGTACGTCACAATGTTATTCGCTCGCACACCTTGATTGTGAACCTATAGGTGGTCCTATATTAATTTTAAACTTATAATGGTTTAGTCCATTAAATGTTTGAAGCCATTAGAAGCCATTAAAAATGTTGAAGTTTAGTTATGCACTTCTCGATGCGTCACGGAATTCCACAGATATTTAAACGCGTAGATTGATCTACTTCGACGTTCACTTTTTACGTATGACCCTAATAAACACGACATGTGTGAGGTAATTTTATCATATAAATACTTGACATTTGTTACAATTAACATTCTGAGTCTCGATGATTAAATTAAGGTTGCGTACAAGGCGTTCGAAATAAGTAAACTAAAACATATCGCGAGAAAATAATACATACAAATAATCAAGAGATAAATTGCATAAAAAATTATGTACAATTGAAAAATTATAACTAATGGAATTAAAACTTTCTTGAAGCCGCGGAATATCTTTTTACTGTGCTTAACGATGGTAATATATAGAGACAAACCAAATGTTTAAAAATCACTGATGATTAAACATTTAAAGATATACGCAAGTCACAATGATATATAAATATCAACTAGTTTTCGATCATTAATGAACGCCATCAGTTCATTATAGTGATATTAAAAATAAAAGAATTACGTCTTTGAAAAATTAAATGTCATCCAAGATCATCGTTATATTAGTCATCTAGATGAGTAGTATACTCATGATAGAAAATTTCAGGCCTTCAATTATTGTCCATCAATTCGCACGTTTCCTCAGATTTTGTTTCATTGAAATAAAACTTTTGTTTTTTTAAACAGCCACTTGGAAATCGAAGTCATATTTTGAAGGCTCAAGTTGTAAATGTTAGTTTGTTGAAAACTGTCTAAATTTCCAATCTCCTTGTGAAAGTTGAAAGCCTATTATTGGTTCGTCAATTAATTAAATTGATAAATGATAAATGAGATATGCTTAGAAAAGTCGCTGAGCTTTCGTAAGGTCATTGAAGCGTTCCTGCAAAGAATCGTATTTAAATTAATCAGAAGTCAATTTAAGATATTTGCAGTTGATAAACAAACTAGATATTACCATTCATAAAGGACTTGATACTTTGTCTAACATGCTGAACTATACTTTAGAGGTAGCCTCGGTATTTTCGTCCACGTGCCTTTCTGGAGATTGACCAGTTATTTCCGGTAGTTCTTGAATCTCTGGACTAATCGTGCCAGCATCAGTGCAGACATTTTCGTCCACGTGCCTTTCCGGAGATTCATTAGTTCTTTCCGGTAGCTCTTGAATCTCTGGACTAATCTTGCCAGCATCGATGCAGACATTTACGTCCACGTGCCTTTCTGGAGATTCATTAGTTCTTTCCGGTAGTTCTTGAATCTCTGGACTAATCTTGCCAGCATCGGTGCAGACATTTTCGTCCACGCGCCTTTCTGGAGATTCTTTAGTTATTTCCGATAGCTCTTGAATCTCTGGACTCATCTTGCCAGCATCGGTGCAGGCATTTTTGTGTGCGTGCCTTTCTGGAGATTCATTAGTTATTTCCGGTAGCTCTTGAATCTCTGGACTCATCTTGCCAGCATCGGTGCAGGCATTTTCGTCCACGCGCCTTTCTGGAGATTCTTTAGTTATTTCCGATAGCTCTTGAATCTCTGAACTCATCTTGCCAGCATCGGTGCAGGCATTTTTGTGCGCGTGCCTTTCTGGAGATTCTTTAGTTATTTCGGGTAGCTCTTGAATCTCTGGATTCATCTTGCCAGCATCGGTGCAGGTATTTTCGTTCGCGTGCCTTTCTGGAGATTCTTTAGTTATTTCCGGTAGCTCTTGAATCTCTGGACTCATCTTGCCAGCATCGGTGCAGGCATTTTTGTGCGCGTGCCTTTCTGGAGATTCTTTAGTTATTTCGGGTAGCTCTTGAATCTCTGGACTCATCTTGCCAGCATCGGTGCAGGCATTTTCGTTCGCGTGCCTTTCTGGAGATTCTTTAGTTATTTCGGGTAGCTCTTGAATCTCTGGACTCATCTTGCCAGCATCGGTGCAGGCATTTTCGTGCACGTGCCTTTCTGGAGATTCTTCAGTTATTTCCGGTAGTTCTTGAATTTCTGGACTCATCTTACCAGAATAGGTGCAGGCAATTTTTTTCACGTGCCTTTTTGGAGATTCATTAGTTATTTCCGGTAGTTCTTGAATCTCTGGACTCATCTGGCCAACATCGGTGCAAGCATTTTTGTTCACGAACCTTTCTGGAGATGCACTAGTCACAATTATTCTCGGTATTCTTTGTTTATTCTCGGCATAAATTTCTACTACATGCGTTATTTCTTGAACCTCCGGACTATTTCTGCTAGAATTACTGCCAGTATTTTCAGTCCCGGAACTTTCTGAAGGTTGTTGAGTCACCATTATTAGCGGTATTTCTGGAATGTCTGGACTTTTCTCACGAACATCGACCCGGGCATTTGTGCTTGTGGCCGGTAATGGAGGTGCATTAAATCCTATTATTGGCGGTGGTACTACAATCTCTTCACTATTTCTTCTAGAAAAAGCCCAGGCATTTTCGTTCGCGAGCGCTTCTGAATAATATACATACATAGGTATTTCCTCCATTACTTCTTCGTCGTCTAACACTGGATGAGCCCTTCGTTGCGGAACAATTTTCCATGATTTGTCCATGCATTCAAAGAACACCATATACAATGTAAAGAGTAATGATATAGTAAGGAAACCGATGACAAGAATACTCAGCACATAACTACCAGCTGTATCGATTGAATTACGAGTTATAGTATAGTACACTTTTATTGAATGAAAAAAAAACTCTGCTTACATGGTGCCTCTTGTACTTGAAAATCATAATCATTGCATAATTCTGTTGCACAGCATTTGATATTATCTCCAGCTTCAGTTATCCCTCTACTATTTCCGCAAATAGTATTGTTTTCACGCCATGTATTGATGCATCCACTATTACTCCAAACCACGAATGAATTTTTTCGAGAGATAGATTTCCAACACTGAAATTACGAAATATTTGTTGCTTATACGCAAATTGAACACGTAAAAAATTTGCAGATGAAGTCATTGAGTCTTTTACTTACGTTAAATGCAGTCACGCAAAGTGACCATTGTTCCTGTGGTAAATTGCACTCACTTTTGGCACACTTATAACATTCAATAGTAGTATTCATCATAATTTTTCTTTCGCGTACACTGAATGATCTGTTATATTAGATAAATTTGCGATTTTTATTTCAGTTCTAAATAGAAAAGTTATTAATATTAGCGCGATAGTATTGATAAATATCACAAATCATTCTAGTTATTTACAAATTACTTGGATAAATCCTGTCACCATAGAGTCAATATATGTTTTTCTCGGATAAAAATCGAAATCAATAATTTACCAAGATAATTAACATTATTTAATGTTCCGGGCTTGTCACAACACAATTGATGAAACGATAATGAGGTAGAATTAGTAGATCAGTAGCTTGTAATTTTGAGTATATTCCTGGCTTACATTAGGACTTAACGAGCTAATACGACCTGCTAAATAAAACTTAGATGTATATATTACCCTATTGATAATGTACTTTATTTTAACTGGAAGTTAAATTTGTTGGAAGCCTATTGGAAATCTTCCATTAATGGATTTGTATGTCAATGGTACCTATAAATCTATACAGGTTTTGGAATATATTTATTAACTTAGAATATGTTATTATATATTTATGAAGACTTGGATTTGGTAAGCGCAATACAGCTGAAATATGAAAGTGTAACTCTGTCAGAAAATATTGGAAAAAAGTCATGAATTTAATTTTCGAAAAATATGAAGTATAATATTCACTTCAATGATCCTATTTTAAACAAATGATGAGTCTCCGACATTTAGCATTGTAATTGGTTGATGTGTAAAGTGGTTGTGAATTTTTAATTTTGAATTTCATCATATTTCAGCGTAAAAATTATTTCCTTTCTCCCAAGTTTAATGTAAGTTATCTCATTGATAAAATTTTCGGATTCTTTTCATGAATAGAAATGTTAGTAACATGGAAATGAAAACATAAGTAACATATTTCCGAAAAGTTTGTCACTTAATATGGAACTAATGATAAGTTTATAGGTTTATCACGTAATCCAATAAAACTGAAAAATGAAATTTTATTGCAAGTTTCGCGCAAGTTTGTACAGTTTACAAAAAATTTTGTCTAATTTTTTATATGAAAACCATCAGAGGTTTTGCATTGATTAGTCACATTTTTACAAGTTTATACAAATTGTTGTAAGTTTTTAAAACTTGAAAAATCTCGAGTAATTAAATATATTTCTCGGAAATAAAAAGTACATGAGTACATATTCTGTTAGTTTTAAAAATTTGACAGAAGTAATCATGATTTCATGAAAATTTTACTGATATGTTTATTAGTCGTTGTTAAATAAGTATAAATTTGTAATTGAATAAGAATAATTAAATATCATAATGTCATCTTTATTGATTACAAAATATAAGTTAGGGATATAATATTTATAATTACTGATTTAATAAATTTAATTTACTTTGAAGTTCGTTGGAATTACAACATATTTAGTGAAATACAGATCGGTTTCACTGCACCTACATCAAAAGCTATTAAATTATTATCAGTGCCTTTCACGTGTAAATAGTTGGAAAGTGAGTTGCAATAAAAATACCTCAAATGCACTTTGTATCTCGCATGTATAGTAATAATTGCATGCATTTTACAATTTTCAACGTATTCGTAGTACTGTTTTTCACAAGCACATTTACAAAATAAAGAATCTTGAAGCAGCTCTGTCCATTGCAATTCTATTTAATCAATGTTCATTTTTTTGACATACTAGTCTGATCCATAATAAATTACATTTATCAATATCCTGTGAAATATATAATATTTCGTTAAATTGATTTCAATGTTAGGAATATTTCGCAAGTTATTTATAATATTCTGGGTTTGTTTACTTTCTAACAAGACTTAAGAGCCAACTATGGAGTCTTAAAATTGTATACTCTCTACTTCTATCATCGAATCGTAGCGTGTACTCATTTAAGATCGTAACAGCTTAATCAGTCATGGCATCTGATACATTTCTGCATTTTAACAGTGTATTTCAATGTAGAAGTATAATATGACGATTGCAGTATTTAGGTATGGTGATCTTTGCTAATGTAGACAAGTTGTATATTCAAAAGCATAATTTAAGTTCCGATGCTAGCAGTATAAATAGCCATTAATGAGAGAGGTAAAGGAGGAAAACCTTAAACATGGTAATCTACGTTGAACTAAAACCAAATATACGTTAAAACTGAGATCTGTAGAACCTTTCACCTCAAACATCGAGTCTTCAGTTTCAATAGCCTCACCTGGACAGTCTCGACTCATCTACAGTTCGTAATTCAAGATTTTTTATGTAAGGATATATCGTAACGTTTCCTTCTCCTCTATCTCTTATTTTGCTACTTGGAAAAGCATAAATACTGGTGAATTGTTTGATATTTAAAAATAAAGCCTTAATGTGTAGTTAATTTTCTTTTTTAATTGTATTTCTCTGTTCGGCAATTCGTTAATCATAAAGTAAGAAGGCCAAATACTAATTTTGAAAGATTTGAATAACGGCATCCCATCAGTGTTCCATGTGAATGTAATATTATCATTAGTTTTTAAAAAAACAGGAAGGAGAGAATTATAAATAGATCCGTTAACAATATCTTCATAATTTTCGTTAATTTTGTCGACGACATCGATCATTCAACTTATTTTAAAAATCTTCTCTTTCAAAAAACTATTGTATTTGTGATATTAGTGACATTGAAAGAGTAACTAATGTTCTCTCGATTATTATACGCAGGGAAGATGTGTTATCGCACCTTTGAATTACATTGTCTACAGTAGTTATGTAGGATTGCGTTAACCCTTTTCCTCCCAAATAACACAAGTTTTTTCTTAACTTTCATCCTCATATCTTTTAATGAAAAAATCGTATGAAAAATTTATCAAGCATCACATCTTGTAGATTTTGACCTCCTCTTTCGAATGCCGTTGACAAAATTTGCCTAAATTGTAAGCCGGAAACGTTATAGGCCGGTTTTCCGGAAAATTCACAGATTTTTCGCGTATTTTTTTCTAAAAAAAGTATATTTTGAAATGGAAAAAGTTTGCACACACCATTGGAAACACTGTTATCGGTGTTATAGATGTCTTTTCTTTCAAATGCCGTTGGATTTTTTCTGAAATTCAAAATAGCGAACACAAAATGGCGTTCGAAAGGAAAAATTTTTTTTTTAAACTTGACGAATTTTTTTCTCCAAAACTATCAAGTTTAGTGACAAATTTTTAAGAACAAAAATGTCTTAAAATTAGTCAAGAAATACTCTCAAATTTTTTCAGATTTTTTTATAGCGAATTTGGAAATTTCGATTTTCCGATTTTCCACGAATTCGAAAATTAACTCTCTCGCCTAAAGTCCTATCGCGTCGCGATCAGGAAAATCGACTTTTAGCGAGGGTAGCAAAAAAAAATAATTGTCAGACTTGAAATTTTTTCAAATTTTGTGAAACCAATTTGAAAAAAATGTATACTAGGAATAAAATTGATTAATTTTTTACTCAAAAACTATTGACTCAATAAAAAGAATTTTCCGAGTTAATTTTCGAATTCGTGGAAAATAAAACACATGAGGTGAAATCCTAAAAAGTTACTATTTCAAAATTGAAGCTGCTTTGTAATTCATGGTTTCGACCGACGGGGGCGCTATAGCTCGAACTGGAATGCCATGCATTAGGGTCTGTCTCCATAGGGCCTGCCTGAGTCCGTCCGAGCCGGCCGAGATTTTTTATGGGCACGCCATCTCTATAATTTCGTATCCAATGGCGAGTTTCATAGTGAATGGCTGCGTTTACATAAACGAGCCCGATCGGACGCAGCCAATACGAGAAACGCATGAACACGAAATTATAGAGATGGCGTGCCCATAAAAAATCTCGGCCGGCTCGGACGGACTCAGGCAGGCCCTATGGAGACAGACCCTTAGTGAAAATTTATACGTGTACTTACTACAATTTGAATTTTATAGTTAAAAAATGTCAGAAATAAGTCGTTGTTTTTTCTTCTTGTGTCAAAAAATATATGAACTACTCTGGAAAAATTTGATAATTATGTTCATCAAAAGTATACGATTCTTATTCCTTTTCTTTGCGCGGGTTTTTTAAGGATTTTGGTTTACAACTAATTAGTGTGGCTATACTGACAAAAACATACTCGTACTCTTCATTTTAGCGGCTTTAAATATATAGAAATTGACGTGAGCGCGAAGAAATTTCTGATATATTACCGGATATAAACATTGTATGCAAGTTATTTGCCGTTTTCCGGTGATTTTCCAAGTTTTTCACCGATATTGGCCTATAACTTTAATATTCCGCTTAGCTTTCAGGAAATTAATGATACCATTCGATTTGGCAGCTCAAAATACATGGAAATATGTATTTCTAAAAACATAACTGACTGGTTACAAACATTACAAGCCAGTTAATTGTCTTTTTTTCACTGATTTTTCCATTTTTTTGACAATTTTCGCTTATAAAATTTTTTAATCGCATTTTAGACAAAAGCTAATAGTGCCATTCGATTTGGCAACTCAAAATACACAAGAGTATGTGGTTTCAAAATTAAAAATCCGAAAATTAGACTAGGTTTTAGAAGGGTAAACCGTTTAACTCGTTTTTCCCATATAAAATCAATAGGAAACTTGAGGTGCTTTGAGGCACGTGTTAATACAATAAAAAAAAATTAAAAACTATTTGCGCAGAGTTTATAGAGTACCTAGAAGCCATTTTAACCCGGACCTAAGGTCTACTAAGAAAAAAAAAATTAAGAACCACCCTAATGCACAGCATATCACGAAATATTACTTGGGCAGAAAGGCGTGATTATACCAAAAAGGCAATAGACTGCACAGCATGTTTTAATGTTGAACAATATTTTTTAAATCACGTTTAATCGTGACACTGCCTTTACATTTTCTTTCTATTTTATAAAATAAATTCGTGACCTATATATATATATATGTAATTTCGTAAAAATTTGCGCTTTTAATTTTTCTCAGATTTTTTGAATATTTCATGGACTTGTTGAATTGTGGATCGACGTTTGGTTTCAGACTCGATTTACTCTGGTAATGAATAGACACATATAGGTAAATTGAATGATTCGGATTCGGGTTACCCTGCATCGATAACTTAGCAACACTAAAAAGAATCTTATAGGCAGCAAACATAATATTGTTTTTTTGATATTTCTTGATAACTACTTATTATAAAAAAGACACTAAAGCGATAAAAGGAAATAACAATTTTTCGACGCTCTTTTAATTTCTTCAATGAGTTTTAAGACTATGGATTTCTTTTTTTATTGGGATTCTTAAGT